AAGCGGCAGCTTGACCTCTGAGACGACCCGTTCTTCTCGCAGCAATAAGACCAGTCTTGGCACCAGCAGATTTATCGCGACTGACCGTACTGGCGTGACCAATGTGCTGGTGGTTTCCTCCTCCGTGAGGATGCTCCACAGGGTTCATAGCCACACCACGAACTATAGGCCAGCAGTTTCTCTTTACGCGGTACTTGTGGTATGCGTTACCTGCCTTGAGAAGTGGCTTCTCTGTTCTTCCTCCACCTGCTACTTGCCCAATCATGGCTCTGCATCCACTTTGTACAATCCTCTTTGCCCCAGAAGGAAGCTTAATCCTTTAAATGAAAAAAACTATTATCCGTTATTACATATGAAACAAGAAACTTAAAACAGGAACACTACTTTTTGAACTTTTTTAAAAAAATTTCACTTAATAGTTTACCACACAAGTTAAGTTAACTTATGATGTTCGAATATTATGATATATAATATTACCTAGTGGTGTCGTTGTCAGGATTGTGAGCAATCACGATGGCGTAATCACCGGAAGCTCTAGCGAAGGCTCCACGGTCACCAACATGAAGCTCAACGTTGCAGACAACAGCTCCCTCGGGAATCGATCTAAGTGGAAGCACGTTACCTACAACGAGAGTCGCCTTCTTACCACAGTAGAGGAACTGTCCCGTGTACATACCTTCCGCAGCCACAAACAGCTCCTTCTGCTTCTTGTATCGGAAAGGATGGCGGAAATCGACGCGAGCTAACGGAGCACCACGTCCAGGATCGTGGATGATCTCCGTCACAACACCCTTGAGATACCCATTTCTCTCACCGTAATCGAGGCTACGGAACTTAGCCGGACCCTTGCGGTGGTGAGTGTGGGACTTGAAGACGGAGCCAGCGGCACCCTTACGTTGAGCTCTGATGACACGACCCATCTCGACGAAGCGGCCTTTCTTCTTCTTGTTGCCCTCTGCGCAAGCTATTGAAGTATTGGTGCAACTATGTTTATTTATATAGTGTCCTTCTTAAAAACCCTAGCGTTAACCCTAGTTATTAATGGACTTTTATATTGGGCCTGTGTAGCGTAGTTATAATTGAAAACCCAGTTAAAGTATTTATGGACAACAACCCATTTAAATTAGCCTTCTTGATTAACATAATGAGGATGGGAAAAGGGCTAAAAAAACTTTTGAAATTAATTAAAAATTCTATTATATTTTAAATAAAATATTATTTTTATTAAATTTATAGAAATGTAGAATACTCATATTTATAGGAGAAAATTTTCTAAATAGCCCATTTTTAGTTTTTACTTTCTAAATAAACGGCAAAAATAAAAGTGACCAAAATATGTTTCACTGAAGGGTTAAAAGTATTATATTATAATTTAAAAAATGATTATTTATTAGATGTATAAAATATTAAATTTGAAATATAAACTCGAAAACATTTGTGTTTGGATTTTGTAATTTTATTTTTACAAATCAACAATTTTTTTTTAATTACAAATGATTTTTTTTTTTTAAAGAAAAAATTTAGGAAAACCTTCTTGGATGTGTATGATATTTCTGAATTCAAGAATGCCTTCATAAATGTATAAATAGACTTTTTAATGTAAATTTGAGAAGTTCTTTCTAAATATGTCATCTTCCTAAATTTAATTTATATGCATATATAAGAAATTATTATTCAATATATAACATCTTTCAAAATTTTATGAAGATGATTTTTAATATGTACTAATCTTATACAATAAACTAGGTGTTTTGCCCGCACTTGCAGGCTTAATAATTTTCTAATATCTATAAACAAATATAATCAGTTTAAGTAAATTATAATAAATTATTGTTCAAACCCTCAAAATATTTAATAATAATCTAAAGAAATTCTTTCTATATATAAAATTTTTCATCATCATATAAATAATTGTCATACACAAATTAAATGTGAAAATATTCATAAATTTAAAATATTTAGTAATAAATTCATATCATTTTTCGACATAACAAAAAAGTATAATAAAATTATCTTTAGTAATGTAAACTATCTATACATAAATTCTTTGCGAATTATTTTTTCATAATTAAATATATATTAACAAATATAATTATTTTTCAGGTTAATACCGACTTATAACAGAATTATAAAAAAATAAATAATGATAATTATCAAATTCATGAAATTCGTTTTTAATTTAGAATTAATTACATATTAACAAATATAATTATTTTAAATATAATTATTTTCAATGTTGATAAAGACATAATATAAAAAAAATTAAATAAGGACGATTATCAAATAAATGAAATTCATTTTAAATTTATAATTAATGATATATTACTAAAAATATAATTATATTCAAGGTTAATAAAGATTTTATAACCCAATATAAAATAGTTTTAGATAAAGATAAATCTAAAATCATTGTAATTCGTTTTTTACTTATGTTTAATTATATAATGAATTTTTTAATTATTATATAGTAATAAATCTTTTTTTGGTCAAATGGTAATAACTATTAGTCATTATATAGTAATAAATCTAGTTAGTCATTAAGTTTATGTTTTCTTTGTCATTAAAGGTAGTAAAAATCATAATAACATGACAATTAGATTTACTATCCTTAATGGCGAATCAAATATAAATTTAATGACTAATTAGATTTATTACTATATAATGAATAATTCGATTTATTATAATCATTAGTGTAGATAATGATAATCATCAAATCATAAGAAACATGATAAATAAGATTTGTTTCTAATTATTATATGGTAATAGATCTAATTAGTCATTATATAGTAATAAATCCAATTAGTCATTAAGTTTATGCTTTGTCATTAAGGGTAGTAAATCTAATTAATATATGGTTCATAATTATATAATATTAATTTTATTTAGTCATTAATTAAGGGTAATAATTAATCATTAGTCAAAATCATAAAAACATGATAAAAGAAGTATAATTACATAAAATTATGGAGAATATGATAAATCAGAAAATTCACCTTTTTAAATATAATTAATTTATTGTTATTTATATATAAATTCACTTTTAGTTTATGATTTATTAATATCAACTATTTTTAGATAATAATAGTCATCAAATCAGTGAAATTTGTTTCTAATTTATGATTGATTATATATTAATTAAATATTTGTTTCTGATAACAACACAATATATATAGGAATTATCTTTTTATTTTATTTTATTTTTAAATATATATTAAAATTATGGATAATTCTTATCATTATTATTAATTTAAATCATTTATCTAATCAAATAAATATATACTCGTTTTTTATTTTTGGCTGATTTATATATTTTATCCATTAAGAATATAAACGATATTAATCACTCCAACTTTTAACGTGGAAGCTCTGTTGCGAAAAATCACTTTGCAAATTTAAGTTAATTATCTGATTTGTAATTTCTCCATAATTTATATAATTTTGATTATTTGTCATATTTTTAATAATTTCATATAAAATTTATTATAAAATAAAAAACGAATTTATATTAATAATTTTATATTTTTCTAAAATAAGATAATTCTTATGTATTATGTTGTTATGTTGAAAATATATTTCCTATTATAAAACTTGATGTTAAGAAATAAAAATTATACTATTAATAATTAAATATAAATCATCAAAACAATTGTTTGAAAAGTGAATTTGTTGATTTGTCTTCATGTTCCTAGATAATTTTGATCATTTATCAGAATTACTCTAATTTTTTTATTATTGATTGAATAATTAAAACTAATTTATACTAACAATATGATATTTTAGAAAATAATCTAATTCTTATTTATTATGCTATTATCTCGAAAATATATTTTTCTATTATAAATTTTAAAATTAACATGTAAAAAAATCTATACAATTATTTAAAAAATGAATTTAATGCTTGTTGATTTGTCATATTTTCCATGATTTTAGGTAATTTTGATAGTTTATCATAATTTCTCTAATTTTATATATAATTTATTATATATTTAAAAAAAAATTATATTAATAGCATCATATTCTTAGAAAATAAGATATTTCTTATGTATTAAGTTGATCTCTTGAAAATATATTTTTCTATTAGAAATTTAAAATTAAGATATAAGAAGTTGTAGTTATATTATAATTGAAATAAATTTACATTAATAATACATAAGAATTAACTTATTTTCTAAAATATCATATTATTAATATAAATTAGTTTTAATTATATAATGAATAATAAACAAAATTATATAAATTCGGATAAATGATCAAAATTACCTAGGATCATGGAGACAAATCTCAAATTTACTTTCAAATAATATTTTTGATGATTTATATTTAATTATGATTTATATTTAATTATGATTTATATTTAATTATTAATAATATAATTTTTATATCTTAATTTTAAGTTTTATAATAGGAAAACATATTTTCTACATAACAGCATAATACATAATAATTATCTTATTTTAGAAAATATTAAATTATTAAAATAAATTCGGTTTATATATTTAAATATTCAATTATTAATATAAATTCGGTTAAGATAAGTATAAAAGTCTTTATATCTTAATTTAAAATTTCAGTTTATAAAAATATATTTCAAGATAATAACATAATTCAATAACAACATAATTCACAAGAATTATCTTATTTTCTAAAAATATGATATATTCCTATAATTTCTTTTACTTATAAATAAAATATATAGAAATATTAAAAATTTGATAAATAAATAAAATTACCTAAACTTATAGAGAACATGACAACTTAGAAAATTTATAGAAAATAAGATAATTCATATAAATTCGTTTTATTTATAAATAATATATATATATATATATAAATATTAAAAATATGATAAATAAATAAAATTACCTAAACTTGTGGAGAACATAACAACTAAGCAAATTTGCTTCTTAGATAATAGTATAGAAAATTCGTTTTATTTATAAATAAAATATATATAACTATTAAAAATATGATAAATAAATAAAATTACCTAAACTTATGGAGAACATGACAACTAAGCAAATTTACTTCTTTAATAATAGTATAGATAAACATTTCCACTTCTCCTGCGTCCATGTCAGCGTTTTCCTATGGGCGTTTTATGCCATGTGGCACACTAAAACATAAGCTGCTCCTGCGTTTTATGGCTTTCGTTTGGTCTGGGCTCCTGTGGAAACTTTCTGGTGGGCTTTTCTAAACAAGTAATAGATTGCAAACCCGATGAAGTTTAGGTTTCTTTTTCGTTCCACGCTTACCGGAACCTCAAGCGTTGTTCTGATCTTCATAACGTCTCAACCCTCCATTAATACGTGCTTAACTTTGAGTTCTCGCATGATTATTCCAATTCTCTTACTGAGAAAATTTCAATCGATCTTTTCGCATTCCGAAGGCCAACGCAACTCAGACGAGATTCAGAAGAATACTTTGCTCTAAGAACTGATTCCGGCGATGGCTAGTTCATACATTCTCCTTGCCGATTTGAGAGCCGGTCGCTGCACTAACACCGCAGAGTTGCGCTTTTAATGGTGAAAACGATGGTCTATGTATGAAAGTGGATTCGAAAGAGTTAAAATTTTGTCAAAATCCTTTTGATACTGATTTCTTGAGTTCATTGTATCGATTATGTTGATAATCCACAAGAATACATAGTTGTCTTATGCTTCTCTTCCCTTAAGCTCAGCAATTCAAAGTCTTATTCAGTTCTCTACTTCTCATATCCAGTTTTCCAGTTGAAGGCCGCGAAATGAAAACAAATAGTTCAGACCAGTCTCTTACAATTTTGGGAAGCTCGGGACTTTTAAAAAGGTGGTAGCTGATGGGTCTTGATATGGTGCTAATTCATGCAAAGGTACACCCAAAACTTTTTTTTTAACAATCTCTTTATAATGTGATTTTAAATCTTCATCTTTCTTAGGCACTCTCA